GCTCCGTGTCACTTTGTTGCCCCATTGACCAATGTCCGAGGTAATTATTCCTGTTATGTCCTACGTAGTTCTTCACACAGCAGGTAAACGCAGGGACAAAACTCTGAGGAACGAAGAGAGGAGGATTTAGCCGACCGTCCATAGTCGGAAATCCCCGTGGGTCTGAGAACACACACTATTAGAATCAATCGGTCTTCCCTGTCTGGATGCAGGTAATTCACGCTGCTGATCAATCATTTGAACCGAACGGTACAACAGCCAACTCCTAGTAGGAGGAATAGCCCCTCGTAGATTCGTGACACAGCTTACTACTTGCATGCTATTCGGTAATCGGTGTTCTCACAGTTAGGACGGAATCACAGGTAAAATTTTCCGCAAACAGGTGCATGATTTTGGAGGCACATTAAGCTCCTGTTCAAAACAGCGCCCTTTCATAAATGCCACCAAGCTCTCTGGTCCTGCAAGACTACTTACGTCTCTCAACCAAGATCACCTCAGATATCCTCGAGGTGCCGACTCTCCTGTCAATGGAGAGGAGGGTGAAGAAGACGAGAAATGGGTTTCAGCATTTCGGTACAAAGTGATTATCTGACCGGTTGTACCTCTTTCACGTATGGTCTTAAGGTGGCTACCGGTTCAGTAATGTGCTTTTCCTCCGAAGGCGTGTTACTAACACAGTTTTATCTCATGTGAGGCAAAGTGAACAAGCGGTCTTTCCTGAATAAGTTCTAGTCCGTGATACGGGACTCATTGGACCAACCAAAATATGTCCATTCTGGGACCCGTACCTCAAGAATTCGATGGTTGCGTACAGAAGGAAGTAGGCAAATTACTGGGCTTAGGTCACCAAAAAATACTGTTCCTGGGGGGCAAACAGCAGCGAAAAACCTCTGGTGGCTCCCATCACGTTGTATCCCTGTCATAACTTTGGTACACACCAAGGTTTTGAGGTTGTGACAAGAGCCATGTCTGGATGATCAAATGTTCCCTAATGGGTTGACCTTCATCTACTTGAGACCATTTTCGATTGGTACGTTGAGAACGACACCAGTTGGTTGGTTTTCTCCAGAAAAGATCACCCCCTCCGTGGATGTTTTCGAAGGATTCAGTCAACCAAAAAAGGAGGATACTCTTGAATAACGGTCTATATATGAGGGAGAAGTGATAAACCTACAAAATATGTCACTGATTAGGTGGCTGTTGATCTTTTCGTCGAGCTTGGTTTGCGAATGGTTCTTTACCAATCAAGCGGACATCATCAGCGCACCGTTAATAATCAATTTCTTTCTTACCTGAACCAGTTTATAAGGTTATTACTTATTCACTGATTCCCAAATTGTGAACTGGCCAATCAGAAGGGTGATAAAATCAACCCGAAAAAAAGATGTTCAGGGAACGAATCAAATTCAGAGGATGCATACCACACCGCAGCACAGGTAGAAAAACAACCAATGGAATTGCGGGAAGGCTGACGTTCAGTTAACCACTCACATTAAAATATATTTTTTGTGAATGGTTTCATTTGAGGAAACTGTTGTGATTGGCATTGCGTTTAATTTTTTTCCCTTAGGAACAATGTTCATCAACATCTGGGAGAGGGCGTACGAAATGCACAAAAACCTGATGACTACCTGCCTTGAATGAGCACTTCAAGCTGCAACATTTTCCTTAATTCGAAAGTTGATTAGTTAGATTTTGAACGATGTGAATTTCCAAAAATCCCCATTCAAGCAAGTCCACCGACCCAACTTGTTTGCCAGCTTAGAAACCTCTTCTTCTGAAGCGAAATTTTTCTCGAAATAAACGCGCGCGCTTTGAAAGAACATCCGGCCTAGACCGATTATCATACTAGAATGTCGTATGTCTAACCACGCTATCAGATACGCAGAACGCTTAGATGTTTTTGGCGTGCTGACCTATATCGACACTGTGTTTCGCCATTTGGAATCAACCAAACACTTCCCGCGCGTAGCAGACTTGCTCTTCCACTGATTACAAAGCTACCCGCAACTCAGCAGCCTAATGAGACCAGCTCAAAATTTGAACACGAGTGATGGGGAATGGTATGATCGCAGTAAGGCTTCTAGCAAGGACGTCAAAAGCAGACCTGTCCTGACCAAAATGCATTAGCCATTCCATACGTCTCTATGCTCCACGTGGCGTGAATGACAAATTTAACCAAAATACTTGGAACAAATGCTATTAGGCATTTCATTTCAACGGGATTTTCACAAAAACCCGAATCTCCTCACACTACCGACAATCTCTGAGTAGTTCAGTAGAACGATAAACTTGACCTGATGAGTACATTTCCATCTGAGAATTCGTTGCTCGAGGAGCCAGTCATCACGTGTGACCGCGTGATGTGGATTCCACGATTGAAGGATGAGCAGCGCTATATCCTGTCTAAGTGCGAGTTAATCACACTGCTGATCAGCCACTCGTGGCTGAACGGCTAGTCAGCAGGTCGCGGGTTCGAGACCCTCAGGCGTTTCGTGAGATGCGCACTGCTGATGATTCCCAATAGGGATAAACAGGTGTACAGCGCTTCCCGGCTTTTCAGCATAGATTGGCTTCACTTACAGGGCAGTTCACAACTTCGTTTCTTCAGGACTGACTCAATCCCACGAACGAACACAGTAGATCTCACGAGTTAAAAAACGACTCTATGAAATACATCTTTTCATGAGCCGGATGGCTGCAAGTTTTGGACCCAATTTAGAGGCGAACCGCCGGACAAATCACACCGTCGCAATCCGTTCTCCGGAAGTAAGGGAGAACACCTGGCTAGAATTCGCCCCTTCAGATGTCCCTTATGTAGCCCACGGATGTGGAAACCAGTTATCGCCGGGCGCCGTAGAATACAGACCTCCCAATTTATTGATCATATTGAACTATTTGCTTCATGCTAGCGGAAACAGAATCTTTATCGACAGTAACATACGCCTGGTGAAAACTGGTGAGCTTCCGAAAGATCAAAACTTTTAATGGGCCGTCTAGAGCATTCACTGACCTCATGGTCGGTCTCTTGCCAATGAAAGCACGGCTCTGTTGCCTAGACTAAGCACACTACTTGTACGGTTGCTGACAGCCCATGGCCAGTTTTGCCCTTCTTGGAGCTCTCCAGGTAGGCACAGTTGCCGATTTTTGTAAACTTGGTGTTGAACTTGTAGTGGTCCATTATGATCGAGAGCTGCAGCTGGATCCATTTGAGTCTCCTGTGAAAACCAAGTTCGTGGGCAAATGTGTTTGTTGAAAACACGGCTTTGTTTGTTCTGGTACGCGAAATACATGTTCCAGTTATCCTTACCTGATGAAATTTATCTACGACCCTAACGAGCCTAATTCCTATCTCGCTGACGCATCAGTTCGTCGTGGATATGGCAAAATCACCTGCTGCGACGCAGAAGAACCCAGGACTGAATAACCCCGCGCAGAGTACAGGTGAGTAATCCTTCAAGTTCACCTATTTCACAGGCGTATTTTCTGGTAGGTATTTTATTATGAAACAGCTCCTGGAAAGGTCAGAAAAGCTGCTGCAGTCTCGGAAAGTAGACAGCGTAAACTTCGAACAGACCGTACTTTAGGTGAAAGCTGATTCTCACGTCTTAACCAGTTTCAGGATGAGTTATTGATTATTACGCGCTATGGTGCAATGATCAATAGACAGTATCGATTGTAGGCTGTGACCGGTCTTTTACTTAGGCGAACTTGATATGGAAAAGACTTTGAGGAAGATAGTTTGAAAAGGGGGTAGGAATATAAACGAGGAAGAATCATAGGAAAGGAAATCTTTCTGCAGTTTGCATGGGTTTCCATTTAAGATGGTCTTAGCCGAGACACAAGTCCTCACGTGACCATATGGTGTGGACCACGTGACTGAAGGATGAGTGGCGCTATGTCCTGTATACGTGTGAGCTAATCACACCGCTGATCAGCCACAGGTGACCAGCTGGTTAAGTGATCAACCACTGGCTGGAGGGTCGCGGCTTACAAATGTCCAAGAAATTAGTTACTAGTAACGGTTCTCAGCAGTGTCGAAACAGCTGTGCAGTGCTTTTCCACACTTCGGCACAGACTGGTTTCATCTGCACAGTATCAAATCGATTGAAATTTCATAATCTCCAGAAAACGGGAGAACATAACTAACCAGAATAGTGCGACCGAGCTTCTTGCTCAAAGTCAGAGGTATCTTGCGTGAATTGGACTCTGTCAACACCAGAAAACAACTCCAGCGGAGTCCTCAACAAATTAAGATCACATTGGCGAGAGAGCAAAAAAGGCTCTTTTCCTAACGTGGCCTCTTTTCGGCCGATCATTGGCGCTTTGTGCCGATTACCTCTTCTATAAACTATTTCTGGAGGAAATTCGGAAAGACCCATTCGTTATGAAGGAACGATTTTACTACTGCGGGGACAATCACCCTGACAGACAGATAAAAACGTTGATCTTCAGTTTCCGATGATTATCCCCAATATTTGTGGAAGCTTCGGCAATAGGCTCACGAAGGAAGTGAATTACCAGCCTGTGAGAGTCATCTGTTAGTCTGGAAATTCTTCACGTTAGTTTTCAGACATTTCGGCCAATTTGCGATGATATGGTGTCAGTTTACTCCAGTTTGAGCTTGATCGTGGGACCATTTAACACCAATAAAACACAAATGTGTGTTTTCATGACGGAAACTACTCGCAAGGTTGCTGAAATCTCTTCGACAACCTTCAGCAACCTTGTGAGTAGTTTCCTTCATGAAAATATACTGCGACATCTCGAATATCACGCCTACTAAAACATGAGGCGGCCTGCGTGCAGCACATTCATTTGTGGAACATCAGTTCAGTTGATTTGCAAATGAGTGCATCTCTAGACAGATGTGTTGTTTTAATGTGTAGATGAACTACCCATCGAGAGGATGGGCGGGTAAACCAAACTCCCCCCGAGAAATTGGCGACAGCTGTGTCCATTCGTGTAGTTTCAATTAAAAAGTCTAACAAGACGGACTATTTGCTGTGGTGATGAGATATCTTCGCACCCAAGATTACAAGCGGGCGAATGTTTTGAACAGGAGTTTTTATCGGTAAACAGAGTGTTGTTCAGGTGCATGGAACATATCGACAGAATATCAACCGATAAATGGTCGTTCGGATGTATCTGGAGCACGTGCCGGGCAAGTTAGTGTTGGACACTACACTCCCTGATCGATTCGTTTTGTGGTCTGTCCTCGCTGATGTTTGGTCGAATTGTATTGTCTGCCGGCACCGTAGAAACGTGGTCGTCCAGGGAGGCTTCAGACAATCTGAAAGCGGTTGAAAAGTCATGCGTCAACAAGATATTCAAGATAATGGAATTCCAACTGAGGATGACTCAGTGAACCAAAATACTATCATCGGAACCGAGGATCTTTTCCAGATAAGCCCCATCAAAAAACTAACCCCCGCCATCCGAAAAAGATCAGAGAAAGGAGGATATGAAAATTGTACTTTCCGTTTTTATTGAAGAGGGTGAAATTTGGACGTCATTAATAATTTGCATGAAACGGTCCGTTTTTCTCCAAACGAACCCACACAAGTGGCTGTCCATTAAAGATCGGTGTGTGCCGCATTGGCGTTTATTCTGCATCTTGTAGACGTGCCAAAGAGATTCGATGATTTATTGTGAACCCTAGTCGTTAGTTCCACAAATTTTTCGGTATGATTAACCGTTTCATGAGTATAATTCATGTCAATCATCGTTTCCATTCTCTGATATGATGCCCACACATCGGGGATGATTGATTCGGCAGCGATGCAGGCCTGGATTTTATCCATCAAAATGGCCGCAGTTCGATCTAGCACTGCACACATGAGCACCTCTTTAGTCTCCCGGGGGATCCATCCGAAAATCCACTGTTGGGGAAGGACTCGCCCTGCGTGGTTTTTAAGGCGAGATGTTAGCGTTTCATCGATACCGACGTGTAGAACTGGGCCACCGCAACAAACATGTTGCCGTCTCCTTGTCATGAGTGAAAGTTGAAAGCGTCAGAAAGTTAATTTAAGGTTTTACATCCGAACGGAGAAAATGTTTGCGCAGAATGAGCCTAGATGCGGATAAGGAATTGTTTTCATCAAAAATAGGTCAAGGTTGTGTGCGTACATCAAGTTTGAGCTGGCAAAAGTGTGGCGGGGCTTAACTTTTCGCACATGTACTTTTTGCATTAGTGGCAGGGCCTATCTGATCCGAAACCAACGCTGCTAACGTGATGGAGAATACAACAGTGGTCACTGAAGTAGATTATATTTTTTCGGGTGAAAAGAACTCAGTAGTCCGTGTATGGTCACGTGACCTCACAGAGCACAACTCATCGGTGTCTAATTTCTAAGTACACTCTCATGCTAGCAAGTATTTTTCGTCCTCACCCTACACGTGCATCGCAAAATGTCCCAGACGAGTAAGCATTTTCCAGACGAAGCAAATAAAATCTGTCCAACATTGAGTAGGCGAATGGGAAGCCTGTGTATCGTACTTGGATCGTGTCGGAGGACCTTGATCTGAAACATAATTTAACCAGATTTACATTGGGAACGAACAAGCAATGCGTACAATATTCTGCCTATTGTATGTTTGTTGAACGATTTTTCAGTAATTTAATATGACACCGTGGTAAAGCCTTCACAGAGGAGCTATGATGTTGGTTGCAGTTGATGTAGGCTATCTAGATGGAATGGAACCACAGCGAGAATATTACAAATAAGGAAGAAATGATTATGGGAATAGTCGAATCATGACACGATGACTCATTGCGGTCGAACGGATAACGGAAGCAATCAGGGAAGTGCGCATGCAACATTACCTGGTGCTTCTGTTTGCAGTAGACCTCGAAGAAATGCACGAAACCGGTTCAGAATATTGCGCTCAACGAATGACTTGCACATACCAAGCTTACCTGTCAGGTGGATGGATATTCGGTTCATATTCAAAATGATGAACTATCTCCTCTTTACGATGCTATTCGCTTCTACATCGATTGGGGTGAACGACGCTCAGATTCTGTCACCGTGTACAGGAAGATGAGCTTCCATGAACAGCGATGGAGACTACTGACATAACCACAATTTCAAGATATAAATCCTTCCTTCCAAACAGCTGCTGGCACACTTGAACAATCAAATTTGTGACCAATGGTGGCGTGGTCCACAGACGGATCGCACACGAGGATGAATTCAAAAGCCCGCTGGATGACGTCCGCTCTGGATGTAACTAAACGTGTGGGTGTACAACAGCCAATCAGCCAGCCAGCCAGTCAGTCCATTTTGCGTAGCTTGAGGTATGACTTCTTGCATGACTATCACGTCCCCATCATGGTACGTACCGGAGTTAAGGATAACTCACAACAACAGAGATCTGGAGATTGAATGGTCCATATCCTGTGGAATATACGTAGAATTCAAATATCACTGAGGCCGGCTGAGTTGACCGTACATGTTGTATGACGGGAGGAAGGAAGAGACGGTTCAGTTGGTTAGAGTGCGATCTTACTGACCGGAAGGTCTGTAGTTCGAACCCGACCTCTTCCTCTCGATTTCTCCTGCCTAGGCTTGGGCAAATCGGCAGTACTTCAGCCTTCATGATTCCTTCGGGTGGCACGGCAGCAAAGCACCGGAAAGGTGCTACGGCTGAGTGACTATCTTTCTTACATGTTGTATGAGTGTACTACATCGATGTAGATTGGGTTATTGATTTTCTGCCAACAATGATGTTCCCAATTCCGGAAAATTTGAGGAGTCCTGTAAGAATGGACGGTCTAGCTCAAGTGAGATTTGCGAACGATATTCTTGTTGTTGAAATGGGGTAAGTTTCAGGCAACAGTTTGCTAGTCATTGGATGTTTATGTGTACGGAGGCCAGCCGTCCCCAATAACCGAACACCACATCATTTGGACGGATGTGTCACGTGCAGGACACGGGCCAAACGAAGGCATGCCCTGATTGGTCAGAATGCCAGCCAATCCGAGTCAAGCACCTTTGACCCGACGCTTCTCGCCCCCCTCACGGGGATTCTGGCACGACCTTGTGGAACACTCTGACTACCCTATAAATACAGTTGTAATAATTTTCCTGCCTCCATTAGGGCTGTGTAGAGCTACCGTGCCTTTTGGTATATCATAGTGGGTGGAGCAGGAAGCCAAGGGACCGGTACAGAGTTGCACTATCGTTCAGCAAGTCACAACATTATGACGGCAGAGTGGAACACGCTACTGCTGAAAACTATCGGGCCGAATTGCTGGCCTTGTTGGCAGGGAGTCTGATAGTTAAATTGTCTGAATTAGTTGTTGGTTCGTTCGCTGAGCTGGGCAATTTGATTGCAAACGTTTCATCACCAATCGAGGTGACATCATCAGTGTGTTGTTAGGGGACGTGGTGGAGAGCAGCGATGGGTCGGTGGTTGTGAGTTGGGTAGTGTTATGTGTGTGTTAATATACATGCTGCTAGCCGGGGTTGACCTTCGATCACGGTTGGATACTCGGTCAGTCGGTTCCATTGGATGTTCCGATTGATCGATGGCCACGTGAATTGTGAGCCTGGCCTCCCTCGTGCTCTTTTGCAATTCACCCATGGATTAGCAACGTATAAATGTTTGCAACTCTGCTTATGTCCTACTTTAACTACATGCTCACCTGTTCGAAAACTGCGGTGTGGTCTCTTGAACGTTTTGTTCGGATCCGGGGGTAGGGTGCATCAGAAAGAAAGGCAGTTCGACCCTCAAACTACTGAAATAAAAAAATAGGAAAGTAAAATGCTCCATACGCAGAAGCTAAGATCTGAGGAACAATCTTAAATCATGTTCGAATTACGATGCGAGAATCGCGTCTGATATAAGGAAAAAAACAGACACCAAAAAAAGACTGCTCTACCAACTGTTATCTGAGTATTTTAAACACATAATTGGAGTAATTGTGATTGTGCCAGATTAACTGTTACACGTTAACGATAGGCGAAGGGAGACGCGTCACCCACGATTTTTTCCTCAATCACCAATCGAAAATTCATACGATTTAAACGCCCGGTTGGCAACAAAGATCACCTCAGCTACCAGTATTCTTGAGGATCATCACGAGACACATATTAATCGACCATCCTTCTCTGTGCCCTTTGAATTTTTGCAAAAGTTCTTGATCTGCTTAAAACCGTCTTCTGTAGTGACTGAGTCTCTAGCACGACCGCGTGGTTGTTCACGACAACGCCGGTACCACCCTAATGGGAGAGGCACTGCGCCTCCTGTCAGTCAGCGCTGACGTCGATGATTTCAACGTTTCCGCACAAGTTGGCTAGTATTGTGGATTTGTGTTTGGTGACCTGCTTAGGAGAGAGACCACAAACTACACGAGTCTTTTATCCGACAGGTTGCCTTTCGAGGAGACGGTGCGCTTCGAATCATATGACGCCACTGATGAGACTGAAGGCTGGTGTTGTTGCGTTTTGACTAGGTGAAAGCTAACCACTACTCATGAGGTTGCTGAAGATTCTTCGACCTTATGAGCAACCTTATGAGTAGTGCATTACGAATATACCTGTACCGCGTTATCTCGAATATCGTATCTGCTGAAACATGGGGCGACCTGGTACAGCACACTGAGTTGCCTGAGAACATCACAAACAAGAGATTCAGCTGAGTTCCAGGTGAGTCCCTCGCAAAACCAGATTTGTTTGCAACTGAGTGTACTTCGCTAATTTCGTGCAGTTTGGCTTCAAGTAGAACACAAGGTTGACGGAAACTCGGGGACTGTGCCTACCTGATAAGCCCCGCGGAGGGCGAAGCCGGTCGTAGGCTGTCGGCGAATTTTCAGCAACTTTATGAGTAATGCATCACGAATACACATGTAACGCGTTATCTCGAAAGTCGTAGCACCCAAAACATGGGTGGCCTAGTGCAGCACATTCGGTTGTCTGCAAACGGGTGAATCTCTCGCAAAACCAAATTAGTTTGCAAATGAGTGTATTTCGCTGAAAGCTGGACATCCACTTGTGTCTCTAATCCAAAAATATGCAACACTAGGCTGCTTGAGGGTAATTTCACCTTACCAGTGTGGTTATCTGGTGAGAAAAATCAGAAGACATTTGCTAAAGTGCTTTCAGAAACTTTTGCGCAGGAGCACTGAATCGCAGTGTATCTGGGCGCGCAGTTTACGCTCTCCTATTATTCTAGGAAAGAGCCGATGCAACAAGGGGACATGAATCAGTTTTTCATCCTGCCAGAATGGTATGGGTTTATCCTATGTAAACTCGTAACAAGAACTTGAAGGGGTATAATACTGGAATGGTCTTAGTTAAAATTTTTGTAGCTAGTTTCTACTGTAAATCTATTAGTCACCCAGATGCTGACTCCCAGCGAAACATCTGTAATTCCAGACGTCTTATTTCCTTATGTGTCACGTGAGGTCCCTCTTTTAGAATACACATTTTGTGTTGTCAGCCAACTAACCAAAAGAAGGGAGCATTGGCTGGTTTACAAACACTGCGATATTTGACAACGGTTTCGGTCCTATGTGGTCTCAAATCAGGATCTTCAAGGACAGGAAAGCTTCATCAGGATGACCTTGGTTGAGTAAATGTGCTGTTTTTTTGTTTTTGAATAGATTTTACCGCATTAGAATTGAAAACAGCATGCGACGATGATTCAACTGGTCACCTTATGAGTTCAAGTCATCCCACCAGCAGTGACGGATGAAATAATCGATACAACAAATCGATCAGTGACGCGCCCGTCATAGTTCATATGTGTGTATGTGTAGTTTGAATCCACTAACGCAGATAGATGAAATACGACGTTAACCATCGTGCAGAAAACAAAACTAAATTCAGGGACGAATAACCAGTGACGTCCACTCAGACCAGTGAGTTAGACTGAACAAATCCGGTGAGATTGATTTTGGAGTGATATCTTCTAATTTACAACTGTGAGTTGTCGTCCTGTTAGAGAGGCGAATCCATGCTAAGAAGACGAAAAACAGCGCTGTTCGCAGCTGTTTCATCCTATTCTTAAGTTATCAGCAGTCTGCCTCTCACGAAACTCCGGAGAGTCTTGAACCCATGACCTTGTGTTTGATGGTTGAACATTTACCCGCCTGGCCATGAGCGGCTGATTAGCAGTGTGATGAGCTCTCACTTAGACATGACATGACTCATCCTCCAACCGCATAAATCACATCACATGGTCACGTGTTGACTGGCCCCTCAGAGGATGACTCCTCAAAAAGAAGTTTCACTCATTGGAAAATGCTTGGGACCGATTGGGAAGTCATCGTTTCAGAGAGGTTTGGTGAACAATAAATCCACGGATTGCACTACTCATAAGGTTGCTGAAAATCCGTCAGCAACCTTATGAGTAGTGCACTACGAATATACGTATATCGCGATATCTCGAATATCGTAGCAACCGAAACATGGGGCGGCCTAGTACAGCACATTAAGTTGCCTAGAAACATAACAAATGAGGGATTCAGCTGGGTTCCAAGTGAGTCTTTCGAAAAAAAAACAAATTAGTTCGCAAATTAGTGCATTTTGCTTAATCCATCGATTGCTTACCAAACATCTCTGGAACAAAGTTCCACTCATCTTGTGAAACCATTCCTCTACTGAACTACCTATAGATTGATCGTAGTGTGAGGAAATCTTGTATTTTAAAATGACGGCATAATTGCAACTAAAAATCAGGTAGGACCAGTGAACAATTTATAGAAGCGGATCAAGTCCAAAAATGACATAAAATCAAGTAATCCATCTTTCAAGGCGGTTCAGTTTTGTTTCTTATCACAATAATCTGTTACCTTCAAGATATTCCAACGCGGTCGCTTGGCGTAAAACATCCAGCTGTAGCAAGTCATGAACGAAATTTTGTTTGAGTCTCTCAAGTAATTTGCAGCCGAGTGTATTTTGACCCTCTTTAAAATCTTCCTCGCCGGCGGGAAGTTTTCCGGTTAGCCCGGTGGGAATTATCCCTGATAAACAATCACAACTTGTTTTCACTGAAGGAACCGCTTAGTATAAACAAGCCGAATTGAAAGTTGCACGTGATTTTTCCCCAGATATACCGGAGCATTGACGCAGCTTATCATTCTGGTGAAAAGACCAAACAGAGTGCTAAGATGTGGATTTTTTTTCTAGGAAGATCCCTGGTAATTTTCTGGGTGATACTGCACTAGCGAGGGGAGATATGAAAGTGACGGTTTCCACTGTTTTTGAGCAAAGAGTTTTCGGTTGTATCGGGAGTATGCGCCTGAAGTCAAAGATGGGTGAATTTATAAAAGTTAGAGAACCCTATCTCTGGGACTTTGCCACTCGAGGCCATGACTGAAAAATGAGTGACGCTATACCCTTAGTGAGAGTGAATCACACTGCTGAGCAGGCACTCGAGACCGGAACGTCAAATGTTCAGACTACTAGCCGAGAGGTCGCGGTTCCGAGACTCTCGACTGGAGTTTTGTGAAATGTACACTGTTGATGATCCCGGATAAACTGAAATGGGCGTACACTGCTTCTAGGCATCTTACAACAGATTGACTTCAATCACAATACAAAGTCTCAGTTGATATTCTGGCGTCAACACAACATTGTTTTCAATCGTAGCTGTGTTTTGCGCCCCATTCACTACTGACTGTGACCAACAAGCAGGGTGGAAGAAGGACTGATCGATACAATTTCAGTTCAATCGTAGCTGTGTTTTGCGCCCCATTTACTACTGACTGTGACCAACAAGCAGGGTAGAAAGAGGACTGATCGATATGATCATAACTGAGACGATAAGCGTGGAGTTTGTTTTCAATGGAAGATCCATTTGAGAACTGAGCATGAGTCTACTTCACATCAGTTGTTTGTTTGTTTGTTTGTTTGACAAAGACAGTCAGATTGCTCAATATTTCGTGCAAAGTTTGCGGAAAGATTGTGTTGGAATCGTCCTACTCCCCCTTATCACTATCAAAAAACAAGATAATGGCTTCTATTTTGTTTAAGATCTAATGAAAGGCTGGGGGAATCATAGAGAAGCAATGCACCACACATAAGTTTGCTGAAAACTCCTTGAATATCAGAAACGAGAGATTCAGGTGGGCTACAGGTGAGTTTCCCATCAAAACCAGACTGGTATGCAAATAAGCGTGGAGGTCGAATCTCGTGCCTTTTGGGTTCAAGTAGAACAAAAGTTGGGTGGAAAAATGAGCACTGCGTTTATCTGATGCGCTCCAAGAAGGGCAACACCGGCTGTGGGCTGTCGAAGAGTCTTCAGCAGCCTTACCACGTTCATACAATGATTTACTGTAGATTTTTCACACAAGGCAGGCTCTTCAGCAAAAGAACTGTCTTGGTTGAAGGAATGAGGGGAACTGGGAGGTTCAACTTATTATCCAAAGTCTGTAAATTCAATTACTCCGCTTGAATTTTGAAGGCCAACGTTTTTGGGAAATTTTCAAAGGGTAACATCCTCCTGGAGGAGACTACTCACAAGGTTGCTGAAAACTCTTCGACAATGCACGACCGGTTTTGCTCTTCTGCTTCGGGCTCGTCAGTTAGGTGCTGTCCCCGAGTTTCCGTCAACCTTATGTTCTCTGTTATGTTATCCGCCATCCTTTGTCACTTTGTTTCAACTCAAGCAGTTCTATTTCGTAAAGTTGCTCACAAGATCTCAATGACCAATTTACATGGAAAATTGAGGGTGTTTTCTCGGATAACATGATGAATTCGAGAGGATGTGCCACTGTAAAATCCCACGGAAGGAAAGAAACATTCACATCTCCAAGCTGGTACTGATGCCCAACGCGAGGACACGGACAAATGACTTCCTGGCAAGAATTTTAAAAAGGGATGATTAAATGGGATTGAATTTTAGCGGCCAGGGTGTATTTCCTGGTAGTTGGCAACTGCACCGCTAGCTACTGACCTGTGGGAGATTCACCACTATTGGAGGGGTTGAACACTACTGATTAAGCATGCGAGTAGTATGTCGTTTTGTCATAAATCCGCTTCACGTTCATTGAAAAGTGAGATTTATTACTGAATTTGTGGAATTGCTTTGTGGCCTTCGTTTACGTTTAATTGATAGTCAATGAGCATCCAGGAAAGTTCAGGAAAGCGCGTTCAAGAAGAAGACGGATGTTCAGTTTTCATAGACAAGATGCATATGAGAGTTTTCTCTCCCTGTAACTGTTCACTTGTGAATTCTATTGGCGGAAAACCATTTAACTGTACCGAAATAAGCCATAGTAACTATTATTACGCACGGGCTGACGGATCGTATTACATAAGCTATACGTTCCAAGGGTAGGCGGCTTCTCTAGGTTTCCAAGAGTTCCGAATGACTATGCTTAGAACTCAAAGATGTCTTCGTAAAAAAATCGTTCAGCTGTAGCATCCTTTCGGTGCCTAGTTGCCACGCCACCCGAGGGAAGCACGAGGGCTGGGATACTGCCAGGTTGCCCAAACCTAGACAGGGGAAGTCAAGAGACAGAGTCCGGGTTCACGGACTTTACCTTCCGATCAGTAAATTCGCGCTCTAACCACTTGGTCCGTCTCGCCTCTAAAGATGTCTTTAGTGATGTTCGATGTGATACGTCAGGCCAGGGACGTCATATATCATACTGATATATGTGAGATTTCAATAAACAATCTCATGTTTCATTTCGGGCCACAGTAGACCTTCCATCAGGATGCATTCATACCAAGATTTCCTGAGGAAGTGTCGAGCATATTGGTTCCTTGTATGCTAACCGATCCTCCAAAATGCAACCAGTAAAAAAACTAGAAAACCGGAGGGGTTGATTCGCCTCCTTCCGAGTAGCAATAAATTTGTGCCAAATTCATCCAGCGATTGAAACCACTCACCCTTCTCAGTACTGATAAGGCTTGAACTTCCTTGACATTGCTTCCACGGGGTAATGAAGTGGCACCAAAATCTGGATGACCTCTATTCACAGTGACCTCACATCATAAACAAGAGATTCAGCTGGGTTCCATGTGAGTCTCTCGAAAGAACCAAATTAGTTTGCAAATGAGTGTATATTCGCTGACCTCACATTAGGTTTATTTAAAGCATGGTGAAACGCTTAGATAGGGAATGAGCATCTTTGGTGTGTTCAAATGATGAAACAAGTTGAATCACGTGATGTGGCATCAATACAAACTTCCTCCGACTAATTAATTACCCTTTCAATATTGGACTATTCTATTTTATACGTAGTCGGTCCTATATCCAATGTTTTTAATTCAAATTCATTTGTGGGTTCGTTGCTGAACATTTGGTCCCACTTTGAACTGAACAACATTTTTCCCGTCTAATTTGTCCGACAGAACACCGCTCTTTCTGTGCCATCCTGTGTTGCCCAAGGTTCAATCTGACTGCCAGCTTTCTTTTACTTCTCCTCATTATTTACTGTTCATTTCTTACAGAACCACGGTCTAAATCTATCTATATTGTTTGCCCACGTCCAATTCAATATATTGTTCTCTGCCAGTTGCGACTACTGAACAAACGCAGGTGAAGTTCGTTGAATTCGGTTTTGCTGCACTCAACAGTGACCATCCTTCGTTGAACTAGGCTACCCGTCACCCGTCAGATGGGACACTTATATCGTGCTTTTTGGCTAATTAACCAACTCCTTCCCTTGAGATCATGGACCTAGGACAGGATTGTACACAAGGTGAGCGTGTTGCCAGCACTCCACTGGATGCGTGTGAATTCTCACATCTGTACAGGCGATTGCGTTCACGCTTGATCAATGTGATGACGTTACGGACTGATTTATGGCCTGAAGTGGTCGTTTTCCGTTGAAACCGCGTTGACAAGCACGCCATAATCTCGTTTTTAATTCGTTGACTCTTCCAGCGTCTCCAACCGCAATATGATGTGATGTCATGCCAGTCAGTTATTTATCTCACGGCCATTGACCACTCAATCCACTGCTACGCTCCACTGAACTGAAGATGTCACCCTGATTGGTGATCAATGATTCTCAGATCAAATTGCCCAGCTCAGTGAACAAACCAATGACCATTTGCTCTAGAAGTGCCATATTCTCAAAATTCCGGCGAGCTGAAAACCAGTTAGCTTTAACGTGATCTCCAAGTACCCCAAAATCAATATAAACAACTTGTGTTGTTAGGGAAATACACTCATTTGCAAACAACTTTGATTTTGCGAGATATTCACCTGGAACCCAGCTAAATCGCTCGTTTGTGACGTTTCCAGGCAACTGAATGTGCTGCACCAGGCCGCCTCATGTTTCGGTTGCTACGATATACGAGATATCGCGATAAGCGGCGTCGAAGTAACGTACTATTGATAAGGTTGCTGCCAAAATAAAATTGATATGCAAATGAGTGCATTTTGCAATACATAGTGATAAATGGAATATCGTGCCAACTGAAACATGAGGTGGTCTTTGTGCAGCAGGGAGTCGAGTTAAACCAAGTGGTTAGAGCGCGAATTTACTGACCGGAAGGTCCGTGGTTCGGACCCGACCTTTGCCTCTCGACTTCCTCTGTCTAGGCTTGTACAACCTGGCAGTATCCCAGTCCGCGCCTCCGTCGTGTGGCACTGCAGCTAGGCACCGTGAGGGTGCTATAGTTGAACGAACTTTGTGCAGCACATTCAGTCGAAGAACATTATTGAAAAACGACAGAAACAGTTGAGTATCCCATAAAAACAAAAACGATTTGCAAATGAGTGTATTTCTCAAAAACAGTCTCATTTGGGTTCAAGTAAAATATAATTTTGACGGAAACTCGGGGACTGCGCCTAAGTGATGGGCCCCAAGAAGGGCGAAACTGATCGTGGGCTGTCGAAGAGTTTCCAGCAACCTTATGAGTAGTGGGTTACGTTTACACAATGTATAGCGATATCTCGAATACCAAAACGAATGAAACATGAGGCTTCCTGGAGCTGCACATTCAGTTGCTTAGAAACATCAAGAAAGAGAGATTCAGCCGGGTTTGAGGTGTGTCGCTCGCAAATGAGTATAGTTCGCTAATTTTGTGAAACTTGGGTTCAAGTTGCGTTGTCTTTTTTTGCACCATTATCACCCTTTTTCAATATAAAACCAGTGGGGACACAAGCGATCTCTGTGGTCTACCACGTGTATTTGTGTGTGGGGGTGTGAAATGTTTAGCCTATCTGAAATTGTTTTCCATCACCTAGGTGGCCGCACGGCTGGAATTATTTTAATTTAATCCCAATACCACCATGTGTTGCCCAGAACGCATGCATATCGTCGAGACCACCCTTGTCCTAATTTGCTCTAATTTGTAGATAAGAAGTCCAACTCGGTTGACTTACTTCAGTCCCATCCAACACCGGCAGTGCACCACGTATGAAATAAATATTCCTTGTAGATCCTTGACCACCCGGGGCGCATTTGTGCTAAGGAGGGAAGGAAGGAAGATATTGTCTGATTATAGTAGACAAATAAATATTGGATGACTAACAATTACCATGTCTGAGGATTTTAGTCTGATTATACAGTTCGTTGACAGTATTTGGTTGAAAGTATCCCGGTGGACAAATCGGGAGACTCCTTTCCGTCGATGGGGGCATAGTATTATATGCTATACACCGTTTATTCGACATTCAAGAGCCTATGGGCTTGATAGATACTCCAACTCTGCACCAGCCGAACGCAAAGCTTCAGGGTGAGATGCTAACCAAGAGGAACGAACGTTCAGAATACTCGAAGAATATCGCTCTCACGCAATATTACACTAACAGTCGGTCAAACACATGCATCTCATGATAAATGAATAGTACTCATGTAGTGCGACGGATCGATCGCCTAGTTGGGGCAGATAAAGAGCCTTCCATTCATCCCATTATTAGAACTTCACAACGCTTCATTTAGAAGTTGGAATTTGAATGTCCGTGTTTGAGGATGAGATTTGTTTTTTTTTAAATGAGACGGGTGGTCACTACTAATGTGACCATGGTACGTACTACTGGTGAAGCATGTGAGTAGCGTCTAGTCATATGAAAAAACATCGTCCCCTGGTTTGATGGAATGTGAAGTTTGGCAGGGAAATTATGGATCCGTTTCGCATTGTTTGTTCATTTAATTTCACTATTCAAAGAACGTCCAGGAAAGTTCACTTTTTAAATACTGTGTGTAAATGAGTTATTTACTTTCGTGTCTGGTGGCTTCTAACCGAACAGTTCATTCTCGTCACTAAGCCTCACTTCGCTGAAGGCTGCTCTTCATTTTACTAAATGTTCCACCCCGTAGCTGGACCCAAGTTGCTGCTGAAACATGAAGGGAATTTTACGCAACTGAGGGTCAGCCTCGAGCTCTTGCTCCGATGCAATAATTCAACCCTGGAATTCTAGGAAGGTATGGCACTGCACGCTTTCTCCGGATGGCTGGCTGAAAATGCAAGGTATCTAGGCAAAATGTACTGTTTATAAGAACTGAAAAAGCGCTCAATCCAAATGTACGCCTACTTTTGTTTACTCCCTCAAACTACTCAGTAACACCGACAACAATCGTTTTGTAAATAAGATGAAAATACTGAGAGCACCATTCGGGAGACCAAGAAGAGAACTCTGTTTAGCATGTCTTTTAATGACACAAACTTTCAGCTTACAACCAGAAAACCAGTTTAAAAGAAAACAGCTTGATGAGATTCCTCATGTCGAGCGTCTAAACACACTGTACATATCTTCTCAGAAAAGCCAGCCCAGGAGTGGCAGTCCGTCACAAAAACACAAACGGAGCTTGGAACCATTCCTTTTTGTTGAACTGGAATATGAGACAATCTTTGTGCACACTGCCACCTCCCTGGTGGAGAATCCAGGACTTAAATCACCGATGGTTGGCAGAAGTGGCCCAATCGCGCGTCAAAGCTATCGCCTTTAATCGGACATAGTAAATGTGTGCCGCTGATCAGTCTTCAAACGGATGGTGCACAACAGTCGGATCGCGTTTGAATAACAGAAAACAAGCGAGGAATGTCGTTGTAATTTAAACTAGGAGTTGAGTAGTTTTTAGTGCCCAATCTACGGCAGAATTTTCACATCGCCAAAATAGTGGATTACGGAGGGCTGCAGAACCTTTGGGTTTAAGTGCGGACAAACTGGAATTCAGATAATTAGAGGACATGGGTCAAGTTAATTCACACATATAGGTCGGGGGACAGGAAAAAATGGACAGAACAACTCTAATCCGAACCTTGCACACTCGAGGGAGTTGAGAACACAGTGAGAAACAAACTGCCTCGGGAGAGAGCCTACGAGGACGTGTTGTACAGGTCGATACCAACTCACACAGCCGACATCCGTTTTAGACCGTACCAAGTACACAACCAGTCACATCATAAAGAAAACGACTCACAAGGTTGCTGAAAACTCTTCGACAGCCCACGACCGGTTTCGCCCTTCCACTTTGGGCCCATCAGGTAGGCGCAGTGTCCGAGTTTCCTGACAGGAAAAAATGGACAGAACAACTCTAATCCGAACCTTGCACACTCGAGGGAGTTGAGAACACAGTGAGAAACAAACTGCCTCGGGAGAGAGCCTACGAGGACGTGTTGTACAGGTCGATACCAACTCACACAGCCGACATCCGTTTTAGACCGTACCAAGTACACAACCAGTCACATCATAAAGAAAACGACTCACAAGGTTGCTGAAAACTCTTCGACAGCCCACGACCGGTTTCGCCCTTCTTGGAGCTCATCAGGCTTATCAACCTCAACCCATGTGATTTTCATTCACCTGGCGGATTTGTCGGAAACAGGAGATACGAAAAACTAGGTTCAGTGAATGGGGAGAGATCCGACCGCAGGTGCGGTCAACAGTGCCGATACTACTTATATTCGGTGCATCCTCACGATCGCAGTCGGCTGCGGTTGAAGTTTGAACTTTGTGCGTATGTTTTAGAATTAAAAACCCACTGAAGGATTTCGCAACTAAACTAGCAAGCGTCGCCAAATTCGTCCAATTCCAAGTTCACCACATCGCGTATACTAGACTCGCCATTCATTAACAGTTGTGTTGTTGCGTCTTGATTGATCGCCAGACAAACGATTTGAATGAATTCCACTTTTTAAGTTGAATTTTTGACCGAACTTTTCTTAGAACTTTTTGTTTCGAGGAATGAGCTGAAAGTTAGTTCTAAAATTCGGTAAAAACCAAACCAGCCCATGATGGAGCCACACAACCGACGGTCGCCTCTCTTCAGCTAAAGTTTCGTTAGTTGGAACAAAGCATATGTGACTGTTTCACTTTAGTGAAAATGCTCACTAGCTAGATTTGACGGTAGATTTGACGGTCTCATAGATGGGTATTTGGGCTCCGATCTTGTTCACAATAAAGCAATAAACCAATGGACACGCAAGTGCAGATACATTTCGACCTCAGTTTGGCATTTGGTACGACATTCGAGATATCGCAGTATATTTTCATAAAGGAAACTACTCACAAGTTTGCTGAAAACTCTTGGACAGCCCACGACCGGTTTTGCCCTTCTTGAGGCCCATCAGCTAGGCGCAGTCCCCGAGTGTCCGTCAATATTATGTTCTACTTGAACCGAAATGGGATTAATTTCGACAAGTATACTCATTTGTAAATCATTTTGGTCTTCATGGGAGACTCAACTGATTCTCTCGTTTTTTAATGTTCTTCGACTGAATGTGCTGCACAAAGTTCGTTCAACTATAGCACCCTCACGGTGCCTAGCTGCAGTGCCACACGACGGAGGCGCGGACTGGGATACTGCCAGGTTGTACAAGCCTAGACAGAGGAAGTCGAGAGGCAAAGGTCGGGTCCGAACCACGGACCTTACGGTCAGTAACTTCGCGCTCTGACCATTTGGTC